GACCCGAGGAAGAGGAAGGTGGTGAAGGCTCTGATTCGGAAATGGAGAGTGCGTGTGGTTTGCTTGCAGAGGGGACTGCTTGGGGAATTGCTCTTCTTTGGGATAGGAGGTGGGTGTCGAAGGTTGATGTTTGGAAAGGGAGTCAATCATTATCATTACTTTTTGAGTTTGAGAAAGATGGATCGAAGTGGTGTTTTTCGGGTGGTTATGGGCCAGTAGGTGATGTGGAGTGTAGAGAGATGTGGGAGGAACTGGGTACCATTAGAAGCAGATTGGGGGGGGGGGGGGGTGTTCCGTGGTGTGTTGGGGGGGATTTTAATGTTGTCCATAACATGAGTGAGAGATCTTCTAGGGGTGCGTGGGATGGAGCAATGGTTGATTTCTCTGAGTTTGTGGAAGCTAATAGGTTGTTGGATCTGCCCATGGTGGGAGGCGCATTCACATGGTTGAGTGGGCGGGATCCTCCTCCTTTTTCTAGGTTGGACATATTTCTTATTTCAGTGGAAATGGAGGAGAAATTTCCGGATGTGTCATAAGTGGTGTGTGTGCGGGCAATCTCTGATCATGTTCCTATTTTGCTTGATTGTGGAGGGATTAGGAGAGGAAGATCCCCTTTTAGATTTGAAAACAAGTGGCTACAAGTGGATGACTTAAAAGAAAGGGTCATGATCATGAACTGGTGGGGTGCTTATGATGTTAGGGGTAATCCAAGCTTTCAATTGGCAGCTAAGCTGAGATACTTAAAGAGCGACATTAAGGTCTGGAATAAGGATGTGTTTCGTAAGTTGGAGTGGAGGAAAAATCAGCTATTAATGGAAATTTCAGAGTTGGATAGGAAGGAAGGTGCTGAGGCGATCTCTGTGTTGGAGAGGAGTAGAAGGGAGGAGTGCAAGGGTGAGTTTCAAGAGATGTCAGTGATGGAGGAAGTTTCGTGGAGACAGAAGTCGAGAGCCCTATGGCTTAAAGAAGGTGACTGAAATACTCAATTTTTTCACCGATTAGCTAACGCTCATAGAAGAGGGAACAACGTTGGGAAGATAAGTTTTGATGGTGTCATGGCTGAGACTGAAGAGGAGATTCGGATAGGTTTTGTGGCATTTTATCGGGAGTTGTTCACAGAGTCTGTCTCTTGGAGGCTGGGGTTGGATGATATTGAGTTTGATACAATTTATGACAAGGATAGAGTGGGTTTGGAGAGGCCATTTAGGGAGGAGGAAGTGCTGGAAGCTCTTAGGAGCTGTGATGGAGATAAAGCTCCGGGGTCGGACGGGTTTACAATTGCGTTCTTCCAAAAGAATTGGGAGGTGGTGAGAGTGGATGTGATGTGACTAATGCATGCCTTCTTTGAGGAAGGTTGTTTTGAGAAGAGTTTGAATGCCACTTTCATTACTCTTAAACCTAAGAAGGGTGGAGCGGTTGAAGCTAAGGATTTCAGACCAATTAGTTTGGTGGGCTCTGTTTATAAGATTATTGCGAAGATTCTGGCTATTAGGTTAAGGAAGTTGTTGGATGAGGTCATCTCAGAGTCTCAAAATGCGTTTGTTGGAGGAAGGCAAATTCTCGACCCGGTTCTTATTGCTAGTGAATGTATTGATGCAAGAGTCAAGAGTGGTGAATCGGGGATTGTGTGTAAATTGGATATTGAAAAAGCATATGACCATGTGAATTGGGTGTTCTTATTGTATGTGTTGGATATGATGGGGTTTGGAACCAAATGGAGAGGGTTTCATCAATGTATTTCGACGGCTCGTTTCTCTAGCTTAGTGAATGGATCACCAACAGGTTTTTTCGCAAGTTCAAGAGGTTTACGTCAAGGGGACCCATTGCCCCCTTTTCTATTCATTATTGTAATGGAAGCCTTTAGTAGACTCCTGAAAAGGGCAGAGTAACTGGGCTTTATTCAAGGTTTTTCGATGGGGCGTGTGCCAAATCAGATTGTTACATCTCACTTGCTGTTTGCTGACGACACTATTGTTTTTTGCGATGCGAATGTGAATCAAGTGAGACACTTGAGCTGTGTTTTGGCTTGTTTTCAAGTGGTCTCGGGGCTGAAGATAGTGTGATTGTTCCAGTAGGGGAGGTGGATAATATTCATGAGTTGGCAGCTATTTTGGGTTGCGGAGTGGACGCTTTTCCGTTTTCTTATTTGGGGTTGCCATTGGGTGCCTCCATGAGGAGAGTTGCCGTTTGGGATCCAGTGGTGGAATGTTTTCAAAAGGGGTTATCTGGGTGGAAGAAGCAATACTTATCGAAAGGGGGTAAACTTACATTGCTGAGGAGTACCCTCTCTAATCTTCCTACATATTTTATGTCTTTTTTTCCAATTCCTAGAATAGTGATTAGTAGACTTAATAAGATTCAGGGGAACTTTTTGTGTGTGTTGGTGTGGGGGGGGAGTTCAAGTACCATCTTGTGAAATAGGAGAGAGTGTGCACCCCTATTCAAAGAGGAGGCTTGGGGCTTCACAGATTGGAAATGTTTAACAAAGCTTTGTTAGGGAAATGGCCATGGAGATTTGGGTGCGAAAGGTTCGTGCTTTAGAGGTGTGTTATCGCTTATCAGTTTGCGGAAGAGGATGGAGGTTGGATGTCTAGAGGTGTGTCCTCATCAGCAGGTATGGGTTCATGGGAAGGTATTAGGAGGGGTTGGGACGAATTTTCTAAGCGGATATGGTTTAGAGTTAAGAATGGTCGTTATGTGAGGTTTTGGACGGATGTTTGGTGTGGGGATGTGGTGTTGGCTTGTAGGTTTCCTAGACTCTTTAGGATGGTTGAGGAGAAGCATGCAGCGGTGGCAGATTACTTTAGGCTAGAGAATGGGAGAGCTAGTTGGGATGTGAGATTTTGCAGAAATTTTAGTGATTGGGAGTTGCTGGAGTTTACCGATTTAATGGGATTAATTTATAGTCAGTTGGTGGAGGGGGAAGGAAGGGATGAAATTGTGTGGATGGGGGATTCTAGAAGGGTGTTTAGGGTGAGGCTGTTTTACCAAAGTCTTACGATTTTGATAAGCAATGGTTTCCTTGGAAGGCTGTATGGAGGACTTCAGCTCCACTGAAGGTGGCTTTTTTCACGTGGACAGCGGTGCTTGGTAGCATTCTTCCTCTTGACAATCTCAGAAAAAGATGCCAAATAACAGTTAATTGGTGTTGCATGTGTAAGAAGGCGGGCGAATTGGTTAATCATCTCTTGCTGCACTGTAAAGTGGCAGCGGATGTTTGGAGTTTGGTCCTGAATGTTTTTAGGGTAGACTAGGTGGTGTCAAGTAACACAATGGATATGTTAGAGGTTTGGAGAGGGAGACCAATAGGCAGTCTGGTTAGGAAGGCGTGGAGGGTTGCACCTCTTTGTATTTGGTGGGGGCTGTGGCACGAGCAGAACAGGAAATCTTTTGAGGGAAAGGAGTCGCTGGTGTGGGTTATTAAGGCGAATGTTTTGCATTCTCTTTATTCTTGGGTTAATGGGAAAAACTGCCCATCTATGGATAGCTTTTCAGATTTTGTTGACAACTTATCATTGTAATGGCGCTTTTTGCGTATTTTGTTTGCTTTGTTAAGGGTTCGCTCCCCTCTGAGCGCCTTTGTTAATATATTTTTACTTATCAAAAAAAATAAATAGTCCCAAGTGTATTAATATAAAATGTGATATGATGCAATGCACGATGTGAGTATATATTTAATTATTTAATCAAGAAGTTATTACCCAGTATTGTTATCATTTGGCGGTCTTAGTGGATGCCTTTTCTCTCTCTCTCTCCTCTTCCCAAGGTGTTTGGCATTGTTAATGGTTTTGTCTTGTCAAATGGAAGGATGACCAAAGTATTTTATGCTAAGTATTGCTAATCTCAAGAAAAGTTCCATTCTCGATATTGTAGTTGGTGCATTTGATGCAGTTCAATGACTTGTGAATGATGAGTGACCTATGATTTACTTGAATACCTATATTTTAGGCAAGTAATATATAAATAAATAAATATGTCATAGAATATGTGTATATGTGTGGACATGGATATGTATTGTGTGCTTTTGTAGTTGTTTCTTTGTAACCATGTGTGAATGAATCATGCATGTAAATATATTCTCTCGCCCTCTCTCTCTCTCTCCCTCCCCCTCCCCCCCCAGTACAACTGAACATGTTCTTGTGGGCATGTATATATACTTTTTTCATGAGTATATATCAATTACTATATAAAGGGTTGTGCATAATTGTGGTATCAATCTTTGGCAAGCATAATTTATCCTTGGCTCCATCAAATTTGTCCTTCAAGTATGGTCTTGGTAGCTGAGTGATGACCATGTTTGCTGCAAGAAACCTGGCCTTGTCATACTTATTGCGAGGAGAGGGGAGGAAAGGGCTTGAGCATGTCAATCTTTATCAGTGTCTTGCTTAAAACAGTTCCATCTGTTGTGAGCTCTGTTTTGCTATAGCTGCATAGCCACTCAGTGACACTACCTTACAGCTTGGCCAGCCTTGCACTTTGTTGCATAGGAACTCATTTTTTGCCTGGCTCATTTGGACTTGCTGATTAGGACAAAATCTCATTTCTTCTGTATTGCAGACCTCGTAAAAATTAGCCCTCATTTATCAAGCAAATCCTGCCCAACAAACTAATTTCTTCACTCTTGTCATGGTTAAGATTTGCGACGTTTCTTTCTCCCCCTCTCCCTTTTTTTCTTTATTTATTTTTTCCTACTCTATTGAAAAAAAGCATAATCCTACCGTTTTGTGTTTTAGGATGGACCATATCTTCTAGCCCTTCAGTTTATGGCATTGTTTAGACAAAAGTGTTGTAAGTTCTATGTAAACCATAAAAAAAGGGTTTTTTGCTTTATAATATGTTATCAAGAAGGCCATGCTGCGTTCTCTTGTTATCCTTATCTCTGATTGATCCTTGATCCATCATAATTTAGTAGTTTGTTTGATTTATGGCTTTCAAGGTATTTTGAAATTCCATATGGTTATATAATATTTATTGGATTAATGATGCTTTATTTTATACAGAAAGTTCATCGAGTAAAGGTGAAAGCAACGAGCCCTTGGACCAGCAGGAAGTTACTGGTGGCAAGGAGCTTGGTTCAAGTGAGTGTAAGTTCAGAGAGTATATTTGTGGTGAGGAAGCTCTAAAAATATCCCCCAGTGAACCATATTGCTTACACCGTCCTATTCGCCGAGGTCACTTTAATATTTCTCTACATTATCCTATGCAACAGGTACCATTTTTTCCACTATTCATTATCTTGTCAATTATGAAACAGATGTGCAGTGATTATTAATGCTAACTACATCTGTTCTTTTCACCAAAAATCGAAAGTAGAAACAAGTAATTGTTTTGTCTGTGGCAGTGGTAGGCACATCATGAGCTGCCAAAAGTCTGCAAAATGTACTGCTAGGGTTCTGTCTGGAATGCTGTATTAAATTGAATAAATGTAACTCGATGAATGCTGTATTAAATTGAATAAATGTAACTCGATGCATTTATTTTGTTAATGTGATCCCTCACTACTCTCCATGTCCCTTCCCCCAAAATAAAAGGAATTTTATTAATTTCTAGTTAACTCAGAACAGTTCTTTGTGCATGTGTGTGTGTTTTCTAGTTACTAACAAAGTATTGTGCCTCTGAATTATGTTTTTCCTTTTGTCCAGATATTAGAAGATCTGCATGCTATTTGGGACTGGATTTTAATAGAGAAACTTCATATCCCTCACAGTGAAAGGAACATGTATTCTGCTATTCTTGTAGTGCCAGAAACATTTGATAATCGTGGTATGTTAATGCTTATAGATTTTTTGACTTATCAAAAAAAATGCTTATAGATTTTTTGACTTATCAAAAAAAATGCTTATAGATTTTTTATTTTATTTTTTCTCTCCAGAGAGTGATGCTTATAGTTCTTTTTCATTTCCCTTTGAAGATCAGGAATCCAGAAAGTCTCTATTATGACATTTTCATTTTGAAAGAAATATGCCATGTCTTTCTCTATAGAGCTAATATCCTGTTTGATTGGCAATTCTTGATGTATACTACAAAGAATTAGTTACTTGACATTTATGGAGTTATAGTCTCCAAAGGTAGATAGATAACACTGCTACAAGATCTAAAGATCCCTTAAAATTGATTAGTATGTGTTACATTAAGCCAAAAACATTGGTAATTATTCTTGTTTCATGTAACGACCCACTCCACCATACGGTATGATATTGTCCGTTTTGGGCCCGAGCCCGTATAGTTTTGCTTTTGGGTTTTACCCCAAAAGGCCTCATTCCATTTGGAGATAGCACCATCACATATAAGCACTTCATCTTTCCCTTACCAAGGTGATGTGGGATTATGCAACCTGTAGCTCGCCCAGTGCCTATTCACACCCGCTCACATAGGCCTTCACAATTACCCCCCTTAGGGGCCAACATCCTCGTTGGCCGTACTTCCGGCTGATTCAGGCTCTAATACCATTTGTAACGACCCACTCTACCACATGGTATGATATTGAGCTTTTACAGTTTTGCTCTTGGGTTTCACTCCAAAAAACCTCATACCATTTGGAGATAGCACCACCAACATATAAGCACTTCACCTTTCCCTTACGTAGGCGATGTGGGATTGTGCAACTTGTAGCTCGCCCGGTGCCTATTCACCCACATAGGTCATCACGTTACATCTACAAAAGAACATTACTTACTGTTTTGAGTTAAAAGTTAAATCTCCAAAGACGAACGATACTGCAGCAAGATCTGAAGATGCCTTTAGCTTGATCCGGATTATTGACTGAGATGAAAAGTGATTGTCTTGTGATCCTATTAGCAAGTGACTTTCAAGTCGACTATCAAGCATTGATTTAGAAATCAACTGTGTGAGGCAATAGTCATAGAAGTATAATAAATCTCTGACAATGATTTTAGTCATAAAAATTAGCGAAGAGAACCGTATGAAAATAACTTTCACTACATTGATTTAGAAATCAACTGTGTGAGGCAATAGTGGAAAGTAATGTTTATCAATGATTCTAGAAATTGAAATAAGATTCAATACCATGCTTAGATATCATAAAATTCACTAAAAATTAATGAGAATATACAAAATATGGCAAATTGCCAAAAACACTAACGAAATATCAATCTGTTGCAAAAATCCCTCTCTTTCAAAATTGTGAAAAATGTCCCCCTGTTGTTAGATAGCTATCAAATAACTAAAGCTTCCCTAGTATTGAATTTAGAAAAAAATTAAATCAATATGTCAACAACAATAAGGATCTCGAGTCTGAATCATTAATTATATTAAATACGACACAATGTTATCTGGGGTCTTTATTGCTATTTTACATATTAATTTAATTTAGTTTTGTTAATTTATTACTCTGTGGTTTTTGGGGGGGGGGGGGGGGGGGGGGGGGGGGTGTGGGGGTTGGGGGTTGGTGGTGTGGGTGGGTTTGTGGTGTTAGTAATTTCACATTGTAAATTAAAAGGGACTTGATGGTCTTCTAATGGGAGGAGGGTATTTTGCACGATTTTAAAAGATTGGGGGAGTTTTCTGGCTCAAAAATAGTTCGGGTGGGTGGGGGGGTGGTTGTAACATATTTATAGTTTAGTGGTTCTTTTTACAATTTTTCCTAACATATAATAAATCATGGTTTAATAAGCAATTTGCATTGAGGATAGACTGATACTCTGGCCATTACATCACTACGACCAATACCACTATTTAAAACCGCAACTGTTACAATGGAAACACTAGTATACATGTACATATGTTTGCATGCAAGTTAATTAATTTTTTTTATGTGTGTGTTTATAATATATAACGTTTTTTTATATGTACATACATTACTGTACACAATCATCTTTTGTGAATCTATCAAATACTTTTAGGCTTCTAACTTATACTGTTATAAGTCAGACGAGAAGCTGGGGGTATGAACATGGATATGGGACCAACTTGATGACATTTACCATTATTATATCTTCTTCTTTTTTTCTTTTTCTTTTTTTTTTTTGTCTTCCTACATTTCTATATAGTGTTGTGCAATTTTACTCTTATTACTACACTAGAAATGAAGTATCTTGATGTTGAAGAAATGTTGTTTATGTATAGTGCATCTGTGTATCCGGAAGTGTGAGATAGTGTTAGCAGAGATAGTATCTTGATAGCCTAGAATCATGGATTTAACTTACCATATTAGCCCACCAAGATATGATAGCCTAGAATCATGTAATTTGACTTTATTTATGCATATATTTTTGCATTGAATATGCAGTGATTTTATTCAATTTCCTTGTAATTTTAACATGTGCTCTATTTAGTATATAAAATATTAGAGCTATGAATAAGTGTAGAATCTCATTAAAGTCTATACATATTTCTCTTGTATTTCTCCTTGCTATTAGGGCCAAACTTGATCCTTCATCCGGTGTCATGTCAAGCACCTGCCTGAGAGGAATCGGTTAGGCAGGGTGGTGACGGTGGTCCAACCGCAACGAGGGCGTTGCGAGTTCGAGTGGAGGAAGAATGTTATAGGTTCTTGTCACCAGCTTTAAGAACATCCGCTGTTGGCCCATTGGAGAAAGGCCCATGGTCCGCATAATTGAAATTTAAATCCCCCTCATGTGACACACCTCGTGACCTGTGCAAGCTGTCTTCCAATTCGAACAGGAAGTCTCCCGATGTGTGACGTGTGTATACCTTAGAGGCTCTCGATTCTTGACGCGCGAAGCTCCTCTACTTCTTCCGAAGTTCTCTTCCCTCTCGTGAATGCCCAGTCATCCCTGTCCTGAGAGAAACCCTTCCCCTGCAAGTTCGAAAAGTGCATCCCTCTGATCATTATTACATCACATCCACTCCCCTTCAGATATCAAATTACTTTCTTCCCTTCCGATCATAGAGTCTGGTGTTGGCACAAGAGAAGGCACAATTTCTTCCATCAAAGCAACCTTAAACGCCACCCATTTATCTTCCACGATGACGAACGTTGGAATCACCCCACCGTTGGTGACACGGAGAACAATTTTCTCAGTATCATCCATCTCATATGCCTCAACGTCACTTAAGCCTCCGCATAAGTCGCCAATAGCCTCGAATAGTTTCTGGCACCAGACATGCAGAGGAAGCTCATAAATGATTATTCTCCTTTTCATACTTTTCTTCCTCAGTCCCGAGCAGCCAACTTTGAAACACCACACATCAATAAACAGCCTTGCTTCACCCTAAACCTTCTTCTCATGCTTCAAGAACCTATTAGCTTCATTTTTCAAGGGCAATCTGAAGAGTAGAAGGCTGTCGGGCAGAGTAACAACCCTAAACCCACTTGAGATCTTCCAGATCTTGGTAGCACACTCCTCTATCCTCTGAAGACTGCCCACATCTCTGTCAAATCTCCCAACCAGGCAAGATTTCAGCGCTGCCTCTCGGATCGTTGTGTTATGGTTGTCAACCCTAAACACATGCCCTTTTCTTGTGGCTTTACTTTTGACCTTGCCATTAATGGCGAGGCTTGATAATCTCGCCACATCCAGAAGGGAACGTTTCTCACCTTCTAGTGCTTTCATACCTTTCACAGATTAGAAGAGAATAACTGAAAGATAAGAAACAGAACTCATGGGACGCTGGAGTAGAGCGTCTGAGAACGAAAAAGCACAAAAAAAGTTACTTTGAACTTGAAGATCATGTCTCTGATTACTCCCACCGTCCCAAAATTAATGTCCCTTTGGGGACTCCAACTTCTTAAGGGCATGCAACTAATACATGTCTCCTTTCTAAATTTCAAAACTAACTATTTACTAATATAAAGATTTGTGTTAATATTAATTTAGGGAAGTTTTAAAACTTGCAGATAGTTTAGAAAAGATACAAATATTTTACATTGAGTTTTTTAAATGGGGCACTTAATTTGGGACATCCCAAAATGGAAAGAGGACACTTATTTTGAGATAGAGGGAGTAGTAGTTTAGAATTACTTGAATGAAACAACAGATGCTAAAGAATGTTGAACAAAAGCGAATGAAAAGGAAGGTGGAGGTAAGGATTGCCCTTCCAAGGTAATTTTTTCTTAAAAACAAGCATCTATAAGATTATGAATAAAGAATGCCTTAGATTATAACTTAAACGATTATCAAATTTCTTATAAACAAGCAATTGTTGTTTTGCTTATCCGTATATTACTGAAGATTTGATTGTAGCCTGTTGCTCAAGTGGAATTTAAAAATCTTCTCTTTGATAAGATTTATGAATAAAATTAAGTGTATAGAGGGGGAGCATTTTGGGGTGTGCCATCGAAGCTCCTTTGAATGTGTAACAGAAAAATAATATTAAAATTCTGAGAATTTATCTATCTATTTTCTAAATGTGGTGCTTGCTATCAGGTATGCTTCTGATCTGGCCTCTCTTATTCTGTTATCAATCTTTCCCAACTGTGATTCTTTTTATAAAAATTATATCTTCATGCATGTGATATCAAAACTGACAGTGGATATTATTATTGCAGCAACATCATTCCCTATTTTTTTGTTGTTATGAACAGAAATAAAGGAAATGTTATCTCTTGTATTGCGAGACTTGCAGTTTAGCACAGCAGTGGTCCACCAGGTTGGGAGATTTTCTGTGTTTATATTCCTAGAGAAGTCTCTAAACTAATTTCCTGTTTGTTGAAATTTGTAGTATGATGTTAGTTCTTGGCTGAATGATTTGTTCCTTTTTTTTTTTTTTTTTTTCCTTTCACTTTTTCCTTTTCATCGGCAAGAATGTTTTGATTTCATTATGTGCGTGTATATAGTTGATCAGACATATAGCTTGCTTATCTGAGGAACTATTTCTTATCTTCATTTCCATGTGAGTTGATTTGTCACAACAAACTTCTTATGTTTTGAATACAAAAAGTAAGAGAACCAAATATCTAAACCTGGCTTGTGAAAAAAAAAATAAAAAAAATTCTAAACCTGCACTTTACATACTATTTTATAGTTGATATCCACTTATAAACACTATTCTCTTTATAAATGAAACCAAAATGTATGAATGACACTTAGATGGATGATATCATGTGGATTTGTCACAATAAACTTCTTCCACTAGATTTTTGAAACGCCAAACACACACACCCAGGAAATTTTGATATTTGATGTATACCTTTCCAATATCCATCACCCAAATTGCCATTCTTAACCTTCTTCCCCAATTAGTAAGGGGGTGAATTGTTGTGTACCACAATTTACAATTTGTGTAGTTCTGCAACTTTTATTATGATATTGATATGTTGGTGGGTACATGTGCACGCATGCAACTTTTGTTTTTTTGTTTTTTTCCCAGTAATGACGTGTACATGCAACTTCTGTCAGACAGTTTGACAGAATTAGTTGAAGTTTAAAAATGGCTACCTAACTATTGATTCAGAGTAAGGTCTGGTTAAAATGATGAATCAATAGTTGTCAGTTAGCATTCTTTTCTTTTATGATTCAGAGCTGCCATTCCTGGTGTGTATTCCAATTCTCGGTCAATGACACAGAAACCATGGGAATAATTCCAGCATCTGGAAACTTTTCTTAGACCTTATTGATTCTGTTATGTGAAGGTAGGTCTGAATATGGAAGGCAATGGCCCTCTTCCCTACCACATATGGGGATGCGGGTGGAGCTAGTATTCCCATGCTCTGATTGAGGTGGGTGTCTTAGCCACCCTACCAGGTTCAGGGCAGGATGAGGTATTGCTTGCTCTGCCTTGTCTTACTTTGATAATCCATGTATGACAAGGTCAATTTTACCTTTGACGAGCTTTCTGCAATAATGCTAGTACAGAGGGCCCTTATAAGCTCCTGAACTTCTAGCTTTGACTAAGTTCTTTGCTTGAAGATCCTTCTTCCCATATGCTATCTGTTGAAATTGAAGAGAAATTAGAGAAGAACACAAGGATATACGTGGTTCAGCCACTACGACCTACATCCACCGCACACAAAGCCCAAAGGGCAACATTACTTTCATTATATTCTCTCTCAATATTGTTTACAGTAAGTACCTCTATTTATAGTGAAATAATACAAGTGATAAATATGAAAAATACGTTGATGGAAGATTCCTAAAATCAATCCCATAAATCACTCCAATAAATATTCTATCATAGGCTAAAATCACTCCTAAGATATTCTCTCAAAACCCCCTCTCAAGTTTGGTTCACGGAGATTCTAACTCAAGTGTCTAACTTGAAGCTAAATATGAAGTTGTCAAGAGTCCAAGACAAGTAGATCAGGAGATCCGAAGATTCGAGGCAAGTTGATCCGGAGATCCGACACGAGTTTAGAGTAGTGTATGATAAACCTGCTCCGATATCATGTTAACAACCATCTAGTCCACGCGTTTCAATTTTTAATTATCGGGTTTGAACTCGAGACCTTTGACTTTGATACTGCGTTAGCTACCATCTGCTTTAAAAGCTTAAGCTATTACAGAGGGTGTAACTTTAATATTTAAATCCTTCAACATGTCGCCTCACGTGTGGCCTTCTTTTTTATCCAAGACGTGTTTCAATTTTGTTGTACAGTATAGTAGTACGAGCTGTCACACGTGTACAATTAGATTACATTGAGTCTACTAGAATTTTATGTATTTTGTAGCCGTCTTCACCTACCCCTCATTGCCATATATAACATTAACATGTATAGGTTTACTTGTTCTCTACTCACCTAATCTTGTAGCTTATCCTATATAAACCCCATTATATTATTGTATTATTGACTCAATAATATATATGTTTTCATATATTCTCTCTCTTTCAACATGATTTCAAATCGGAAATCGATCCCTCTTAAATTTTTTTTTTTATACTCATATTAAGACTCTGATCTTGATTCCATCTCGGCTTTCTCTCAGCAATCTCTTCTCTGCGATCTCTCCTCAGTGATCTCAGTTCTCGTCTCGGCAACCTCTCTCGAATCTCTCCTCAGCTTTCTCCTCGACAATCTCTCACAGGTTCATCTCGGCTTAATATTGGTTCTCTTATCTCGGCTCCCTCTCGCTTCTATCTCTGTCTTGTTTGGCAGCCCCCTATGGATACCAAGGACTCTCATCTTCCTGGGTCAATCACCAGCACCAAACTGTGAGGCTCGAACTACCTTCAATGATCTAGTGTTGTCGAGGTATTCTTAAGGGCTCGAGGAAAACTGTCTTATCTTTAATCAACCAAACCCACCATTGATGAAAAGATTATTGAGGCTTGGGAGAAAGAAGATGCTCAGATTATGACTTGGTTATAGAATAGCTTGGAACCTGAGATCTTCAACAACATGTCATTCCAAGAATTTGCCAAAGATATTTGGGAAAATATGAGGGACATGTATTCTTCAAAGAATAATATTTTTTTGTCCTTATCAGTTATACCAGTACATTTAATCTTAAACATGGAGATCATTCTATTAAAGATTTTTACTCAGAACTGAAGGGTATGTGGGAAGAATTGAATATCTACTAACCATTGACTACAGATATAGAACAACAGAAACGATATAGGGAGGAGTTTGGGGTGGTGAAATTCTTATCTGGACTTAAACCTGAACTTGCTCCGATCAGTTAACAGATTTTGTCTAGCAAGGAGATACCCACAAACAATGAGACTTTGCTCGAGTTCGAAGAGCATCTATTCATGCCCTTGTGATTGAGAAGGAAAACCATTGTGCTCTTATTGTTCCTGCTAAGCGACATGATACTTCCCGTGGAGGACGAGAGGGCAGAGGTCCTTTCAACCAAGGTTGTGGCACTCGTGGCAGCAGAGGGGGGTCACGACAGCAAGAAGTATACCCATTGTGGATGAAACAATCACTCACTTCTGCCAGGCACTTCATGGCAAGCCAGCTTAGTCTCACGCCTCGCCTATGGAGGTTTCGCCACGCAGGTGACACGCAGGCGTTGAGTAGGACGCTGCATGACAACTGCATGGCGAGAGGAGTTTCTAGAATCTTTCAGAATTGTCTGGACTTGTGTGAAAGATTCTAGATATGTGTAGAATATTATAGAAGTATGTGGAAGGTTCTAGAGTTTTCCAGAGTTGTGTGGAGTAGTATGGAGAGTTCTAGAATGTTGTAGATACTTGTAGATATATATAGAAGTGTGAAGAAGGTGGGAGAAGATTCTAGAGAATTGATCTCCACCGTCGGTTAGAATGCATCTTAGCTGTCCATTAGGGATGGGGATGCCTATAAATAGGAGTAAGACTTCATTTTGTAGCCATCAAGACCTGGAGTGAGTCTTGAGAGCCTTGTAGAGAGTTTAAGAGTTAGCCTTGTACAAAGCATTCTTTGAAGTAATAAAAGTGTTCTTTCCTTGCTAACTTAAGTGCCTTAGTGTGTGTGAGTGTGCAAGCCAAGTGAGGAGAGGGCGAGGGCCACTACAACACTAGCAAGCGGCGAGGGGAGTGCGTTGGCTAAGGTAGGCACGGGAGTTAGGCTGACCAAGTACTTGTGAGAGTAGAAGCAACGTCTTGGTGCTGCACGGGAGTAGTTAGAGTGGTGCTGAAACTCTAAGCCCGTGACAGTTGGTATCAGAGCCAGGTTCGTCAAGGGAGCTTTGTTGGAGTAAGACATGGCTAGCGAAGGAGACCACCATGTCCATGTCATGGAGTAGAGCTTGGAGGAGAAGCTCGCCACACACTTGGTCTACACGAAGACCAAGTTCAACAGGCTCGAGAGAAAGATTGCAGAGCTCGCCACCATTTTTTTTTTGAATGCTGATATGTTCTTTTTTTTTTTGTTATGTACTACCCTTTTGGTATTGTAAATGGTAAAAGTCCTAGGTCAAATGATGGATGGGAATAGATGATAGTACACTGACTTGTTTTTGTATCTTTTTTGGGGACTAGCCTTTAGGTTTTTGTGAATGTTAAGTGCTAACAGTAAAGTCGTGAATGTTAATAGTCCTTTCTGTCTATGCTTTTGTATTTGGAGTAAAGTTGCAATGACGATTAAATGACACTAGTTATTTTTCTAATGTCTTATTTTTTATTTGGTTTTATAATTCTGCAACATTGTTCTTTTATAGTTTATTAGTTATGAGTTATGATTTGTGTTTTTTTTCATTGTGAGGTTGATGAAAAATAGTAACACTCAGTAATTTTTAAAGTACTACATCATATATATATACATATATATATATATATATACATATATATATATATATATATATATATATATACTATTCGCCGTGTCCGTGTCCTAATTTTTTTGGATTTGTCGTGTCGCCGTGTCGATGTCGTGTCGTGTCCGTGTCCCGTATCCGTGTCTGTGCTTCTTAGACCGGCAGTAAGAACAGCATCACCTCACCCCAAAACCGTTTAGGCATATGCATATGAAACAAAAGAGCACGAGTTACTTCTAAGAGATGTCGATTCTTACGTTCTGCAACTCCATTTTGTTGAGTATAAACACATGAATTTTGATGAATAATTCCTTTATCACTAAGATATGTATCAAAGGGAGTTGAAGAATTTTCCTCAGCATTATCAGAATGTAGAATACGAATTGGGCATCCAAACTGAGTTTTGATTTCTTTTCGAAATTTTTGAAAAATTAAAAATAACTCGGAGCGATCTTTCATTAGAAACAACCAAGTTAGGCGAGAATAATCATCCACAAATGTCACAAAATAATGAAATTTATTAATTGAAGAATGCTTTATTGGACCCCATACATCTGAATGAACTAAATGAAAAGGACTAGCAACACGATTATTAACCCTAGACTTGAAAGACACGCGATGGTGCTTACTAAGTTGACAAACTTCACACGACAAGAATTTTAAATGACTAAGACTAGGAACTTGACGCTGCAAAACTTGAAGTGACGGGTGACCAAGACGACAGTGCCACTGGAATGGAGACAGGGAAGACTGAAGAGCCACAGGATAAGGTTCCAAATCAAAATAATATAAGCCACCAGCTTCATGCCCCGTACCAATCTTCTTTTTCGTCTTGAGATCTTGAAACACACAAGAAGTAGGATGAAATGTAACAGAGCACTGGAGAGATTTAGTAAACTTACTGATAGACATTAAATTAAAGGGAAACTGAGGAACATGTAAAACAGACGAGAGAGACAAGGAATCACTAAGTTGAGTTGTCCCCAAACCTGAAACCTTAGTGGATGAACCATTAGCAAGAGTAACACTTTGAGAAAGAGGTACAGAATTAAAATCAGATAGAAGAGAAGAACATCCAGTCATATGATTAGATGCTCCAGTGTTTATGATCCAAGGACTGCGAGTGGAAGACAATAAGCACATGTGTGCAGTACCTGACTGGGCAAAAGGTAGCCGTGGAAGATGAATTAGATGCTTGCTTATAAGACAAAAATTGAGTATACTCATCCCGTGGAACAGGGACCGTGTCTGATTCAGCTACGTTGTGAGATCCAAAAGTAACATCATTCGGAGAGGAGGAAACTTGATATGCATAACTAGATGGTTTGCCATGAAGGTCCCAACAAAAGTTCACAGTATGATTAGAAAGACCACAATGAGTACATTTTCTTGATTCCCTGCCACGACCATGTCCTCCCCGTGAATCACAACCACCACGTGTGGTGCGTCCCCCACGACCTCCACGATAAGCATTATGTTCACCCTTTGAAACTACCAAGGCTGAACGCTCACTACTCTGTCCAGTATTTAAATTGGAGTTGTCACTTGCAAGTGTAGCACGCTGAAGTCGAGAAAACACCTCAGCAAGAGATGGAAGTGTGAGACTGCCCATAATCTATGCACGAAAAGACTCATATGCTGATGACAAACCAGTAAGAAAACGGACAACATTAAAGTCCTCACGCTGTTGTTGCATACTTCGAACATCAGCAGTAATGGGCTGATACATATTTAGCTCCTCACATACTCCCATAACTTTGGAATAATACTCTTCTATACTGGAACTACCTTGTTCAAGATTGAAATACTGCTTGCAGAGCTCATAAACACGAGTGATATTCCCTGGTCTAAAATACAATTGCTACAATCTGTCCCATATCTCCTTGGCAGTATCCAAATAAAGTAAAATTGAACTGATTTGGGGTTCAATACTGTTTATCATCACAGAGATGATCTGAGCACCTTCCTTGTCCCATGTAGCAAAAGAAGCATCAGTTTCCTTAATTTATCTTTATTCAGATGAGTACCAAGACCTTTGCCTTTAAGAAAAATTACAACAGATTTAGCCCACAGTATGTAATTCTTCCCAGTGAGTTTAACTGAAGTCATGGGAGAATGAAGATTGGACGTGGGAGAAAGCAAATCGGAACTGGACGCCATGGTGAATGCAGCAAAAAAAACAGAGAAGAACAAAAAAAAAATAATTGCAGAATCTGTATTCTGGATGAACTTGTCGAATGGGCCGGATCTGGTCGAATGGGTCGGATCTGATCAAACGGGCTTGATATGGGCTATCCCAAGTTTAGTAAACCAGGGTTGGAATAGCATAACCGTGTAGCCAAACACGGGTCTTCTTCTTCACACCTTCACAAATGCCGGTGAACAGCGCAGCGAAGACGACGGCAACTCACACACAAACAATGGCCGAATCAATAAGCAGCGACCGCTGCAACTTCCGGCCAAAAAAGATGAACCTCACCTCTGCAAATCGAGACTGCAGATGTTGGCGAGCTCGCTGACAACCAAAGAGGAGTTGCCGGCAACGACGAACAAGGCAGAGACGAAGACGAACAAGCTTCAGATCTGACAACAACGACCGAGGCTGCAAATCTTGACGACAACGGTGAACGATCTTCAGATCTAACGACGAACAAGGAGGGAAGAGGAACTATCAACAGAGACCACCAACACAACAATCGCGATGCCAATCTTATACAAGAACAACCCAATTACAGACTCTCACACCCATGATCGTGTTGCTATGATACCATGTTTAAAATCATATGAGAGAGAGAGAGAGAGATCAACCATTTCTGTATTTCAACTTCTTAAACCTAATAAGCCTATGTAGGCTTATATAAAGGGTACAAGTCTTACTTAATAACACAAGGGCCCTATCAACTATATGTAATTACATAATGACCCAACACATATGTGTGTGTGTGTGTATATATATATATATATATATATAACATTCTAACAGCTCTGATACCATGTTGAAATTGAAGAGAGAAATTAGAAAATGAAGAGCTCAAGAATATACATGGTTCGACAACTACGACCTACATCCATGGCACACAAAGCCCAAAGGGCTACATCACTTTTATTATATTCTCTTAGTATTGTTTACAATGAGCACCACTATTTATAGGTGAAAGAATACAAGTGATAAATATGGAAAATACATTGATGGAGGATTCCTAAAATCAATCCCATAAATCACTCCAATCAATATTCTATCATTGGCTAAAATCACTCGTATGATATTCTCTAAACACTATCAATTCTCATGTTTCTTGTTTAGGCACTTTACAGTGTGGGTTGCGTAACCATAATGGGGATCAATTTTTGGAAAAGAATAGAGCAAGAGGAAATCTATGTAAGCTGCACTAGTGAACTCATCATTCCAATCATGGGTTCAACATGGTCAAAGAAAGTTTAGTTGGTTCTAGCTTACTTCGCAATTGGTTAATTCTGTAAGTTCCAATTTGAAAGTAGTTACTGATTATGGGTTGGTTGTTTCAAAACTATAATGCTTTTGGGTTATTATTTGTCTAATTTTGATTAATTTTTACTTGGGGCAGAGTCTTTTTGTTGTACCAAGTTTAAAATCTTGGCAGGAGTAGGATATGATGTGCATCTTAGGCTACTGGCTTTTTATCTTTACAATGCTTTTGGGCATAAAGTCACTCCATTAGTAAATAGTAGTACATAATTATCCCTCTCTCTCCCCACACTTTCTAACCCCTCCTCCCTCTGGCGGCAAAACAAAAAATAAAATGAAATAAAAGAAAAAGAGTTAATGGTAAGAGTAGTCTTATTTCTAATTACTTTAGGGGCTATTGGTTGGTCTATTTGTAGATAAAGATGTCAGTTAGGCCTTTTCCTCGTAAGGCTAGTATGCTCCCATAGATGGGATGGAACTACAACTGAGCAATGACCTTTTTCATGGGATTGATTTCATTCTAGGGTGAAATCCTTGAAGACCTTTATGATACTCTTTTCTTCTTCTTCTTCCTTCTTTCATTTTTTAAAATTTTTCTATGTACTTGTTTATCTGCTTTTAAACCTATTTTTAATTATAAAGTCGACATTTTTTAAAAATTTTAATCTTCACCTAACTTCTATGGTACAATCAACTCAAAATCTAAAGATTTTCTTGCTGTCCAGAAGTAATTTCTTTCTTTTTATTCCTCTATAAACTTGTGAAACCAAAGCATAACTCACTCTTTGAACATGCTTAAATCTTAACATCATATTTCTGTCCATTCCCCACCCTCGATAAAGGAAGTCAATGCTAGTCCACCTTTCTTTGATTTTTGGCATCCTTGTTCTTTACTTGAAGGCATATTCTATATCAATTCTCATTGAAAATATATGAAAGAAGTTTTGCCACTGTAATTTTAGAGAGCTGGTTGTCTCACTACTACTGATTTCCCTACAATTTCACAACCTTTGAATGGCTTGCTTACCACTTGTGGCCCCCTAAAACTGTCTTATATCATTGTTTAGGACTTGCTGCTCGTTATCTTGTATCATTGTCTTTCAGAGTTTCTTCTTCTAGAATGCATAATACTTTTTATTTTATTTTATTTTATTTTCTAAAAATTGAGTTGTTTTGTTTCTTGTGCTTATAGCTTAACATTCTTAGCTTAGATGATGATTATTTGAAGATTTATGGGCGCATTTATTTCTTTGAAGTGCCAGTTTGTGCTCTATGAGAATGAAGCCATAAAGTGGCATCCTGAATTTTAATTCTTTCTTCTTTTTTTTGATAAGTCTGAATCTTAATGCTGTATGTGGTCTGATTAGTGGTAGGATTTGTTTCAGACATCTCCTTCATAGATTGTTTGATTTACCTGCTTGCGGAATATCCTCTGCTGTAGTTATGCACTCCTTGGAATTTCTTCAGTATATGATGTCCTTTTTTTCATCCTGAAATGGTTGACCCAGGAGGGTCTTGCTGCAGTTTTCGGGAATGGGTTGTCTACAGCATGTGTTGTAAATATGGGTGCTCACATGACATCAGTAATCTGCATTGAGGTAATATTTCTGTTTCACAAGCTTCTTTCTTGTGGGCTGTTCAGCACATGCACATGATAAAAATAGGAACAAGAAAGTAAAATAGAGCTACCAGAGACATTCACTGGATGGCATCTTTGATTTACTCTTTTGGCATCTTGAAGAAAAAAAGCTTAATAGTTTTATATAACTTAAAAAGGCTGCCTCTGTAAACCAGAAAAAATTGCTTTGTATGGAATGAGAAAAAAAATCTTTTTTAATTTTTTTTTTCCCTGAAAGGCTTAAAGAAAAAGTTTTTCACTTTAGCTGTACCAACATCATCACCATAACCAACTAAGATCATTACTTCACTTTCACCACAACTATCAACGTATTCATCACTGATGTCACTAGTCATTACTACTACCAGCACCGCCATCAAAGACACTGCCACAAAATGCTGTACCATCATCATGACCATAACCAACTAAGATCATTACTTCACTTTCAACACAACTATCAACGTATTCATCACTGATGTCACTGATCACTACTACTACCAACGCCACCATCATAGACACAGCCACAAAATGAAGAAGAACATCATAACCAGCCTCAACACCCACCACTAACATTGCCATCATGATGCGAGTTTTTGTAAATATGTATAGTATGTGTTTAGTTGGTGTTTTGGGTTGTTTTTATGTATTTCCATTTAAAAATATTTGCTAATTATGTGTTTATGTTCAGGATGGAGTTGCTCTACCTACTACACAGGTGACATTACGTTTTGGTGGAGAGGTGTGGACGCTGGTTCTGGTTATCTACTTGTTTACTTTTAGAAAATGCTGATATTTAACTCTAATAAGTGGTTTTACATGCTTTTGATTATTTCTCTAGTTGTCTTTATGAAGGTAATGAAAGTTCATACTTTCATTTGTTGTAGAATGAGCATCTAAGCTTCGAGTCATTTAGTTTTCCCTTGCATTCCTCTTTGTAGAATGTTAACCGACCTGAAACTGTGATCTGTTTCTTCCACTTGGAGAATCTTTGTCCTATTGTTCCTGTTGTTTCATGTTGGACACAAGCCTTAGTTGTTCCTTTATAGTAGCCTTGATTTTGTTTAATTGTCTTGTTTGGTCGCTGTTGTTGATGGACTTGACTATTTTGCCTTATGTTTAATACTTGAACTTGATGCCTTATCCCAACTACTAGATTAGCTGCATAAATCTTGCTTCATTGTTCTAATGTAAAGTCAGTAACCTCTGTGATACTTTTGCTGCCAATTTTTTACCCCCTCTATGTCAACTCATGTTAGGTTTAACCATATCATTGTCAATTGCCTTCGACTTGGATCATACCCCTTACCAGTGCGTTCATTGTTTTTGTTGCACATAATAAAGCATCTCAGTTATGTCCTCTCATTTTTTCTCACTTATTAGTCCTACCTCTTTATGTACTTGGCACTTTCATGATCAACTTCTCTACTCTCTTCGATTCTCTCCTTATTGTTACCCTAACTGCACCTTACCATGAAAAGATGATGATATACTTCTTTCTTACATTTTCCTTATTTTAGGGACATTAAAATGTCTTTCTCGACTTGTTCTTTTCTCTTTACCTTTTTGTGATTCCTGTATGTTGGTGATTTCTTTGCCATAATCCCTATTCTTAACTTACATAAATGATGGGTATTATTTCAGGATATATCGAGATGCCTTCTATGGACTCAGAGGCATCATCAAACATGGCCGCCAATTCGTACTGATGCTATGACAAAGCCTGTAGATTTGTTGATGCTTAACAGACTTAAAGAGACCTACTGCCAGATCAGAGTAAGTATAATGGATTTCTTCTTTTTTTTAAAAGCTTATAATTTAGAATTATTGTCCAAAAGATCGAAGTATTGAAGTACGTTGACACTCAGTGGAGTGATTTTGCTGTCATTTTCTACTCATGAAACCTAATTTGATTGTGCCTTAGGTCCATCTTACATGCCAAACCTACCTTCACCAGGTGGCAAGCTACATTTCATAGTATATCTAGCATGTCGAAATTTATTCTGGACCAATTTTGTTTTTTTTAAAAAAAAAAAAATCTATTACTGATATCTGGTAGAGAAGTCTGAAATATTTTATAATGTATGATGCTGCTGTAAGTAAAATATACATGTGATCTCTTGGAAACCACACATTTTTGTTCAATAGTTTTGCTACCCAATGGCAAAAGCATATCTTGTGGGAAACTAAGCCCGTGGTTCAAAATGCTGTTCATTCCACTTACACCTAGTTACAAGATGAGGCATTTTGGCATATATCTGTCCAAGTTACGAACATAAAAAATTGAATATTCTTGTCATGGTTGTCATCTAACCATACGATTTTTTTTTTTTAGTTTTTTTGATAACTATCATCTTACCATAAGAATACAAGGCAAGAAATCCAGGTTGAGGAGTTGCTCAGAATACTGCCAAGATATCAGCATGTTTGCTTTTGTAGCTATGAGTGTAATAAGTCAATTTGTAATATTTAACACCAACTTTGACTTTTGAGATTACGTCCTTTACCTCCACTATTCTGGTGATGCTTTCAGCTATAGATTATATCTATGCAGCAAAAAACTATAGGACAGGTCACGTGCCATTGGTGGCTTACTTTTTTGCTCCTTTTCGCTTTCCATATCCGGTTTTAGTTATAACTAAGATCAACTATTTTGTGTTGCAGTAAAGGTCAGTAATTGATTTAGGGAACCAGAACTCTTAGCTACGAAATAGTTTGTTTTTTTTTTTTTTTTTTTTTTTTGCTCTTTGCTAAAGCAATCTGGTGATACCTTCTTTCATACTACATAATAAATGTTATTAATTTATGATATGTGGACTCTTTTTTTTCTTTTTTTTGACAATTAAGATTGTTTTAGAAAGCGTTCAAAAAAGGGAACAAGATAAGAGCCTAATAGGGCCCCTAATCTCTCAGATTGTCAAAAAAAATCAACTCTCCCCCAAGGATTTACAATTCCTCCGAGCAACCCCACAAAAAATAAAGCCGAGACAAGAAATTTTCAACACCCCAATAGGTGTGTCCTCGGCGTCAAACCATCTCCTATTGAGCTCTCTCCAAAGACACCACCAAAATCTCCCCAAACGATCTCCTAATGTAGAAGGAGCACGAGACCGAAAATCTATTGTCAGGGGCTTATTTGTTATTACTTATATAATATTAGGACTTGTGTATAATTTCTGAAACTTGTTAGTATAAATAGAATGTGGTGGAAGGATGAAAGTATTCTTTCATTCTTTCTCTCTTTCCCCATCTCTCTATCTTTTTCTCTCATCGTCTTTCTTCTCTTTTTCTTCCTCTTCTTATATTTTACTCTTGATTTGATTATATCTTAAAGCCAACATGATATCAGAGCATAGTTTGTAATGCTCTAGGTGTGTAGTTGAAACATTAGGGCAAGTTTGCGTAAACCCTAGTGGGTGTGAAGGGTTTTGAAGAGATTCCAAGATGCGTATTTTTTGGACCTATTTTTGATCTGTTGCAGTTTCGATTGGTGTTTTTTACTCGTTCGCGTGGTTCTGCAACAACGGCTTTTTTCTTCGTCGTTTGAGATTCTGGTATGGTCTACTTTGTTGCTTTCTAAAGTTTGTGTGGTGACTGTGTGGTCACTTTTTATGCATCTCGGAAGGCGGTAATCTTTTTAGATGAAGTTTGTGTGTTAGAGAGGTCATTCTCTACGTATTTTGCTGCTGCTTTTGTTTATGAGGATTGTATACCCAGAAACTGTATAATAAAATGTCTGGCTCAGAGGTGACCTCAAAAGAAGTTGGGTCTTCTCCTAGTCTGACTCCAGTATTGGGAGGTAGTAGTGATCACCATCTAGGCCTTTGTATTACCATTGATAGGCTGGATGAGACGAACCGTATGGAGTGGGCTCAATTTGCTCGTATGCATATCACTGGTCGTAGGATGATCGACCATATCAAAGGGACTGTCATATATCCCTCCAAAAGTGATCCGGAATTCAAAGAGTGAAGTGCAAATAATGCACTAGTTATGAGTCATGATGTGATTGTTACAGTCAATGCAACCACAGATCAGCAAAGGGTTTTTGTTTGTGAAAATAATTAAAAAGCTATGGACGGCTATGGAAGAGACGTATTCCTCGGTTGGTAATTTTACAAAACTATATAAACTCCAACAATAAATTTCAAGATTTAAGCAGGAAGACCAAACTCTTGCTACATATTACCACACTCTACGTGGTAAATGGGAAGAGTTAGATCACTACCAAGACTATATACCTGTGTGTGCAGTTGATGCTAAAGCATTTCATGCTATGGTAGAAAGGAATCAAATTTGAGTTCTTGGGTGGTTTGCATCCGAGATACGAGCATGCTAGAGTATAAGTGTTAGGCAGGTATCCAGCCCCTACTTCTGTTGGAGATGTGTTTTTGTATATCCATGCTGAGAAGGGTAGAATGAAGACTATGTCTGCACCTGTATACACTAAGCCTGAGCCAGAAGTACCATTGTCAGAGAGGTCTGCTCTTGCCACACAACAATAGAACAAACCCAATCCTCTAAAAGGAGGGAAGCATAATGACAAGAGCAAGTTGAGGTGTGATCACTGAGGGCATATGCGCCACACTAGGGAAACATGTTGGAATCTACACGGTCGCCCTACTCCAGCTCTTGCTCATGCGAATGCTAGGCCAAGGCCTAGTCAATTTAAAGGCTTATCTATGGCACATACTGCAAAGCGTGAGACTGCTTCTACTGGTCATGCCTCCTCAGGGCCACCGAGTTCTTTGTCTAGGGCTGAACTTGATGCTCTCTGACATTTACTAGCACAACATGCCTCCATTTCCACTTCTAACTTTGCTCAGACATGTACCTTTCATTCGGCACATCATTATCTGGGGCCCACCTTGGATCATTGCTTCAAGAGCCACTAATCACATGACTGGTATGGCATCTGATTTTTCTTCATACAGTTTATGTTTTGGTAAGGATAAGGTTGGAGATGGCCCCTTCGCCTCCATTGCGGGGAAGGGCACTGTTTCTGCCTATCCTAATCTTATCTTATTCTTCGTGTCCCAAAGTTTACCAATAACCACCTTTCTGTCACATACAAAAGTCTTGAATTGTTTTTCCATCTCACTCCACGTTTCAGGACTTGGACACGGGGAAGACGATTGGAAGTGGATGTGAGGACAATGGCTTGTATTTACTGAACGCGAGGCCAAGTTCTTATTATGTTGCAAATCAATCTAGTGTTTGGAATAGTAATATCAATAAAGATTTGTTAATGCAATGTCATAATAGATTAGATCATTTACCTCCTCCTGTTTTGAAGCATGTGCTTCCCCAGTTTGCTTCTGTGGAATCTTTTGAGTTAAAATGTGAAACATGCATTCTTGCCAAACAATGTTGTGTTTCTTATCCTACTAGTATTAATAAGAGTACAGCTCCTTTGTAGCTTGTTCATATTACTTGGTTTTCGTTACTTTGTTGTGTTTGTTGATGACTTTAGTCGATATACTTGGCTTTTATCTTATGAAAAGCAAAGATGAAGTTCATTCCATTTTTAAAACCTTTCATAGGATGGTATGTACTCAGTTTGGTTGTCCCCTCAAAATCCTTCGATCTAATAATGGAGAAGAGTTTATGTATGGTGGTCTTGCCTCCTTTTTTGTTGATAACGGGATTGTCCATCAAACCTCCTGTGTCGATACACCACAACAACAGAACGGTGTAGCTGAAAGAAAACACCATCATATTACGGATGTTACTCGTTCTCTTCTAATTGGGATGGGAGTGCCTAAAAGTTATTGGGCTGATGCAACCTTAACAATTACATCCCTTATCAATCGCATGCCTTTTAGGGTTCTTGGCTATCAATCCCCCTTCTCTGTCTTATGCCATAACACTACCTTGTTTGTCGTCCCTCTGAAAGTGTTTGGTTATGTTTGTTATGTTCACATTCATCATCGCAAGGACAAAATGGACCCTAAGGCAATCCGATGTTTCTTTCATGGATACTCTGCCACTCAGAATGGGTATCAGTGTTATAACCCTGTCACTCGTCGTCGCTTTGTCTCCATGGATGTTACATTCTTTGAGTCTGTTCCTTTTTTTTCCACTGCTCGGGATACTTTACAAGGGGAGACTACCATACAGGTAGAGAATCTGTCGTCTATTCAGAGGGAATGCCCCTTTCCTTTGCCTGTTCCCATTCAGGGGGAGCTTCTTACTGAGTTGCCTACGTCTAGTCCTCCTAACACTGATGATTTGCAGCAGGGAAAGCAGCCAATTGTCTACACTAGGAAGGCAAAACAAGTCATTGACTCGCCCTAGGACCAAGAAGTCTCCTTCGACCCATGTAATTCCTCAGTTGACATTGATACTCCTGATTCTTTTCCCAATAGCATTCCTGTTGATCTTGATGTCCCTATTGCCTATCGTAAGGGTGTTCGTAGGGTACAAAACATCCCATATCTCAGTTTGTATCCTATGATGTCTTATCTCCAACATATCGTGCTTTCACTTCGTGCATCTCCTCTGTATCTGTTCTTTCTAGTGTTTCAGATGCTCTCAGTCAAACTCCATGGAAGGAAGCCATACTTGAAGAGATGAAGGCCCTTGAGAAGAATGGTACTTGGGATATTGTTCCATCACCTAGGGTTAAGAAACTAGTAGGCTGCAAATGGGTCTACACAATAAAGTATCGTGCAGACGGAACAATTGAGAGATATAAAGCCCGGTTAGTTGCAAAGGGCTTCACTTAGACCTATGGGATTGATTATCTAGAAACATTTGCTCCAGTTGCCAAGATG